GTCTCATAGCAGGACACCGCGTGCTCCCTGGATCTGCACGCACGACTCCTGGCGCCTCCTCAAAGTCAAAACCATCATGAAAAGGAAATGCTTGGAATCAGTTCAGGAGACTGAGGCGGCCCCAGCAGGACAACCAGTGACACCCAAGAAAGAGCACTTCCAGAGCTGTCGCAGAAAGCAGCAAAGAGGGCCGGATGAGTGTGCTCAAAGCAAAGGGAAGAATTTCGAGGCAGATTCATGGCAAGGACTCTTTTACTTTAATAAATTTTAGAAATGTAAACACTCACTATTTTTTTTTTCAGTCACAGCAGCTGAAAGGGGCTGGAGATGTAGCTTGGCAAGAGGCCCGAGGTTCAAGGCCTCCACATCCCTGTACAAAGAAATTCCCATTTCCCCATGCCAGCAGGCCTCAGCTGCCACGCCTCTGTCACGTCCAGTCCTACTTTCGCACACTGAAGGGCACGTGTGTGCCTTGTCCCCTTCTGAGAAAGTAAGGAAGGAAGATGGCGTCCCTTAGGGGGATGGGGAGGGGCCAGCTGTCCCTCGGGCTTCAGGAACAGTCACTCCTGCCCTGGGGCTGGGCAGGCCCTGTGGCTTCCCAAGCCCTGTCCATGCTGACGGCAGCTGGCTGGGGACAAAGCCCGCACAGCATGGGTGGTACTCAGTGGTGCAGCAGCAGGGGCCACGAGGTCCTGGGTGGCTTTTTGGTGTCCATGACCCTGCCTGAGTACCCTGGGCTTCACTGAGGACAGGCTCTGGACCCCAGAACTGAGGGCCTGGGCTTCCACTTTGGACAAGCAAGGAGACCATCATGCAGGAGACTGTGACTTCCCAGGGGTTTGTGGAGGACCGCAGGGGTCTGCTGTCCCCTTCCCCCAGGTCACAGCCCTGCCCTCCCTAGGGACATCAGGAGGCCTGGGAGCTGCTGCAGGGAGGGGCTGATGAGGTCGTAGGCTGGATAGAGTCAGGAGCAGCTGGCACAAGCCTCTGTGCTAATTCTGCTCCTAGGAGGAACTGGCCACTCCCCCTGCCCCTCAAGTGCACGCATGGACCAAGGCTTCCCTGCTGGCATGAACTTCCACCTGCCTAAGGTCACAGCCACCTCTGGCCAGTAGGGGACTTCCCAGCAGGGGCAGAAGTGGCAGCAAAGAAGAGTGTCCTCCCCAGGCAGGACAAGCAGAGCCGGCAGCTCCCACACGTGGCTCCCACAGCTTCCTGGGCCCCTCCTGCACCTTCCCCAGGCACGGGGACACCCTCATCCTGCCACATGCACATGTGGGACCTGCAACACAAGTGCCTCCCTCCACCTCGCCAGTGTGCCAGGGTGGAAAGGACCCCAGGCCGCACAGCCTCCTGCAGGACAGGACAGCACCCTGAGGTGGGCACCCAGCTGCAGACACAGAGCCAAGAAGTTCTGCTCCCCCTGGAAGAAGAACTTCCTGAGCGGAAGGAGCCTGCAGAGCAGAGATTGCAAGCGAGGTATGCGGGGGCCTGGGCACTCCAGGGGCTCCTGCTCCCAAAGCTGCTGCTGAGTGGCACTGTTGTACACAGGGCTCATGAGGGACTTCCAGAGACCCCTGGGTGCCAAGAGGCCTGCAGATAGGAGGGGCAGCTGGCATAGGAGCAGAGCAGGATCGGGACAGGGCTGGGGTCTGGCTCTGCCCCTCCCAGCATGTGGCCACCCGCGTGCCCTGCGTACACAGGCAGGTGGTGGTGAACATAAGGACTCCCACAGCAGAGCGTCACACGGGCCTGGACAGAACCCTGATGCCTGCTAACAGCAGCAAGGCCGCAGCACACAGGCACAGTGTGGAGAAGCAAATGCGATCTCACAGCAGCACGTTCCTGCCCAGGGTTGGCTTCATGGAGCAGGGTTCTTCCCAGCTCTCCAATTCAGGGAGTCAGAGTGACCAGGAGGGGACAGCAGCACCCTGGCACAGCTGCCAAGGGACAGCCCTCCAGGAAACGCCACTGCTTCTGCGCCTTTTGGCTAAGATCAAGCACAGGAAACACTAGCAAGGAGCCCCGCAGGCCTCAGCCCCCGCCAGACCCGGCTCCCTGATGTCTGCCGGGCAGCACTGGGGCCAGGGCGCCCCCTCCTGCACCCAGGCCGGGCCCCAGCACCCATCACCCAGGGCTCTGCTGGGGGCTGGAGCCACCGCCCTCAGGGCCAGACAAGGGCCACTGCTTAGCACAACACACCCGGCCAGGGGCTCTCCAGAGGTGCAGGGGGACCTGGCTTGCAAGGAGAAATGCAGGGCTGGAAATGCCCCTTGCCAAAACTAAGTTTTGAAAAAAGAAAACAAGACTGTATGCCCTGCTGGAAGGAGACTGCAGAGCTTTCAGGAGGAAGAGGAACAGAAGGGAAGACGGACGGCCTGCCCTGCTTCCGGGTCCTTCCAACCTGGGGCTGTGGGAATTCCCCAAACGGGCCCAGCCAGAGCCCAAGGCAGAGTGAGAAGGCCATCTAGTGGTGGGGGCTGGCAGGAGGGGACAGAGCAGGACCAGGGAGGCACCTCCTGGGGGGTGGGGGCAGGAGCTGGGGCACACCTGTGCTCAGCAGGGACTAGGGGAGGATAGAAAGCAGGAGGTGGAGGGGAAGGTGCAGAAGGAGGGTGGCTGCTGTGGAGGGAAGGAGACGAATCCCCACCAGGCTGAAGGACAAAGCCTAGGAAACTCAGCAGTGGGTTCTGAGGGTGCCTGGGGCTTGCAGCCTCTTGCTGGCCTGGGGAGGGCCTGGAGGTCTGAGGGGAAAGGCAAAGAGAGGGAGCCATCTGGCGTCTGGAGGCGGAAGGTGGCGGGTGTCCGCTGTCTGGGACCCAGGCGTGGGTTAGAAGGGCAGAGGCTGCAGTTTCTCCCGTTGGCTCAGCCCAGAGCCCTGCTTCCAAGACAACAGACACAAGGGCCTCCTAACAGGAGCAAGGCCACTAAGGAGGCTGGGCGACAGGGCTGCAGGGCACCCAGCCCCGCTCCTGAGAATCCTGCTGGTCTTGGCCCTCCCTGATGGGCTCTCTGGGCACCTAGAGCTGGCTGGAGGCTGAGGGAAGGGGTGCTGTCCTTTGTCCCTCCAGTGGAGAAACCTAAGTAGCCCTCCCTGGTGGTCTAGAGTGGTGGAATTGCATCCCCCACCCCTTGGAAGGAGCTGGTCCTGGAGTGGGCAGTCTAGCTGTGCCCACACAGTGCCTGCTGCTCCAGCCTTTGCCCCCAAGACACCCTGCTCACCCCAAACATCTCCGCCCATGTGGAGTCTGCAGCCCTGTCTCGTACCTCTCTGTCCTCAGCAGTCAGGTGCAGGGAGTAGGGGGCAGCCAGCAGAGGGAGGGGTGCGAAACATGTGGCCTCCACAAGCTGTGCAGGTGACTGTGCCACCAGGCCTACCTCCGGGACAGGTGAGCTCATCCCTGAGGGTCTGCTATTGCCAGGAAACAAGTCACCCAGGCCGGCTGACCAGCTGAGTCTGTTGCCCTGGCCGGGGAAGTTGATTCTCTGCCCAGTCACTGGTTGGCCGGACTGAGGGTTCAGGGGATGTGCAGAGGGGAAGGGGTGGGTGAAGGAGCAGAGGTCAGCCCACTAGAGAGAGGGTGCCGGCTGCGGCTGCAGGGCCCTCTCTTCCCATCCAAACAAAGTTTGCCTGCAAAGCAAGCAAGCGCTCTGGGAGGGTCCTATTGTCTGAGTCTGGGCTTCTGGCTGGGCCTGTTTCCTGGGCTTGGGATAGCATTTGACCCCGGGGAGCTCCAGAGGACGCGGCCCTCCTCAGGGCCTGATCTCCAGTCCACATGGGTACCACCACTCTGGTCCCATTTCAGAAAAACTTCTGGGACGGGAAAGCATGCCCATCAGGATCAAGTTTCCGGGCTAATTTTTCTGGCATAATTGGGACTTTTTGAAATTTATTTTTTCTAGATTGGAGGTTAAATATTGTTGGCCTGTAGGCACAGCGCCCATTGTCAGGATGTTGCGCTCCTGCCGCCAAGGCCCTGGCCAGCACAGGCTCCAGCCCCAACCAACACCTTGCTGGCGGGCTGTGTGCGCCCGCTTTGCTCTCCCACCCGCTGCCGAGGCAGGAGCCCGAATCCCACAGTCAACTCATCCCGGCCAGCCCTGCACTTTGCTGAGATCGATTGTGGGGGTGGTGTGCTGAGTGTGAGCCTGTGTGTGTGTGTGTGTGTGTGTGTGTGTGTGTGTTCGTGTGCGTGCATCTGCGCGTGCACACGCATGCAGCCTGGCTGCCCCAGCACAGCACAGTGGCTCCCACCACCCACCCCCACAGCCCCCTCCTCTAGGCCGGGGTTCAGCACCCACATGTACCGGCCAACGCCCATTCTGGGGTCGTCTGAATGCTCCCCTCTGCCCCCCTTGTAGAGGTTCACTCTGACACAAGCAAGGCTCAATATTTGCAAGTTGTGCAAAGGTGCTCAAGGTAGTTCTAATAGCAATGCTTTAAACTGCGGCCATCCTAATTAGCTGCTGTCCAGGGCTGGTGAGCACTCAAGCAGCCGGGGCTCTCTTCCTTCCCAAGTCGGAACATTAACCTGCAGGATCCTGTCTGCTGGTGTGTGGGATTACGCCAGAGCAGCGCGCTTCGCCCCCAACATGTGAGAGACTATTTGTTGGATGGGGGCGAGGGGGGGGGTCTAGACTGTCCTTTAAAAACTTATGCTGGCTTTAACTGAAGCCCCTACCATTCCAGAGAAAGTAAAGGGGGAAACAGAAGATGTATACAAAGCCGGCAGTAATTGGTGTTATCCTAGGAAACGTGCCTCCTCCCCCCAACCTTCATCTTCGGAAAGATTTTTTTTTTTTCTTTTTAACTCGAAGCCTTCAGGTGAAAATAAAGCAGCAGCAGTGACGGAGGGGGGATGTAGCCTTCTGCAGGGTTAACATCAGAAGACAAGCTTGTGCGGCTGCGGCCAATCAGATGCGCCCCTGCCAGCTATAATATAGTGCGAGAGGCGGCCTGTCTCACAAGCTCTCCAGGCTGGCTACCATTTAAAATCAGACTCTTTTTGTCTCTTGATTGCTGCCTCCCGACCCAACTCCGATGTGTTCCGCTGTCAGCGACCGGCAGCCTGCCATCGCAGCCCCTGTCTGGGCCCAGATCTGCGGAGAGTGCACCGCAGCGGCGGCAGGCAAGGTTATATAGGAAGAGAAAGAGCCCCGCGGCGCGCAAGGGAGCGAGCAGACAGCAAGGCAGCCAGGCGCAAGGCAGGGCGCACACGCACACCGCGCGCACCCGCTCGCGCGCAGACAGACCGCGGGGACAGCTTGGAAGCCACCGGGCTCCATGGGCGAGATGCTGCTGCTGGCGAGATGTCTGCTCGTGGTCCTCGTCTCCTCGCTGCTCGTGTGCTCAGGGCGGGCGTGCGGGCCCGGCAGGGGGTTCGGGAAAAGGCGGCACCCCAAAAAGCTGACCCCTTTAGCCTACAAGCAGTTTATCCCCAACGTGGCCGAGAAGACCCTGGGGGCCAGCGGCAGATACGAAGGGAAGATCTCCAGAAACTCCGAGCGATTTAAGGAACTCACCCCCAATTACAACCCCGACATCATATTTAAGGATGAGGAAAACACTGGAGCCGACCGGCTGATGACTCAGGTAGAAATCCACGCGGGGTGTGGAATGCGTTCCTTCCGGGGTGCTGCGACCAACCCAGCGCTCAGACTTACTCTGTTTGCTTTTCCAGCAGCGAGGAAGGCAGGCGGCTTCCCTTCTCCCTCCCCACCCAGCTCTGGGAGGAGAATGGAGGTTAAGGGTCCAGCCGGGAAGTTTGGGGTGTGGGTGGCTGCCAGCGGCAAGGTATGTGGCCCATTATGGCCCAGATTTGATCAATCTTGCAGGGGTGGTCTTCCCTATCCTGCTGTGCTCTGGCTAGTAACTTGGGGAGACCTTCACTTTGGGGGCATCTGCTCTCACTTGGAAAAGTGGACAGCAGAAAGGGAGAGGGTAGGACGGTCCCCATAATCAGAAAGTGGCGTTCAAGTCCCGGTGCAGGCACGGCCTTGAGCATCAGGGAGCAGAGCTTGCCTGCTTCCCCTGCCCACTGTGGTTCTCCTAGCCAAGCCACCCCACTTGTGACCCACCAGCACCAGCGCCCACGGCTCTTCCCTGGAGAAGCCAGAGGGTGCTCTAACCAGAGGAGGGGCCGTAGAGCCGCCCAGCCCTTTCTGCACGGTGGCTCGGTGCTGGCAGTAGACTCCCTTGCCCCAGTGCAGCCCACAAAGTGAGACCTATTGATATTTCTTTAAGGATGCGCTGGGGTGCTCCAGAGCCCTGAGCGGTGCCTCAGGGGAGGGACTTAGAACTTGTTGGCGTCGTCGCAGCGCTATAGTTTTGAACCTGCTTGCATAAGAATCGGGAGCGAATAAATATTAGTGGAGGAGGTGACGCTGGAAGAAGGAAAGCAAAACATGAATTCTTCTCAGCCTTCCGCCTCCTTTGAGACTTCTGGGCTGCCAATCTTCCAGCCAATTCGGGACTTTGTGAAACTCCACGCACGTATAAAGCTAGAAATGGGTTTCCTTGCAAATATAGGTCAACATCCTTTTTATTGCCCTATTAAAATAATCAAGTCCTACCTTTAGGGCTAGGTGCGCACAGCGGCTGCCTGAGCGGCGCTGGCGGGGCGAGCGCCAGGAGGCGCGCAGAGGGAGGAGGGAGAGCCAGGTGGCCTCGCTCCGCGCTGCGTGGCCACCCTCACCCCCCAGACCCGCACCCAGGTGGCGGGCCAGAGCCGGCGAGAAGACCAGGGGCACCGCAGGAAGGCCCCTCCCTCGCATCTTTCCCGACCACCTTAAATCTGGATCGCGAGTGTGGACGCTCTAGCTTGTGGCAGACAGCAGCAGCGAGCCACAACAGTTAACTGCGCGGGCCAGGGGCGCCTGGCACTTTCAGCTGGCTGGAAGGAGTTCTCCGGCCCGCTGGGGGGGCGGGGCGGGGGTAACATCCCTCGTCATTCTCGGTCCTCGCGAGGGAGGGGCCTTCCTGGGGTCCCCAGGAGCCCAAGAGGAGGGAGGCGATGAAGGAGAAAGCGGCGGGGGCGGGGACACCCGAGGTCCCCTAGCCAAACAGGTCTCCGTACGTCCTTCTAGCCCGAGCCGACGCCAAAGAAGGGGTCCCAGTCGCGCCTCTTTCTCGGGTCTTGGGCCCGCCGCCTGGTGCAGAGCTGAGAGCGCGCGGACCGCGCATCCAGGCAGCCGCATTTCTGCTCCGCTTACTCCCGGCTGATCGATGCCGCGGCTACGATTTCAGCGCGCGCGTGGATGGGCTGTACCGTCGGTCCCCACCGCCTCACGCGCCGCTGACGGCCCCGCGGGAGCCGCCGAGCTTCTCGATCTCGGCGACGGCTCAGAGAGAGCAGCCCCGGGCTGCGGCGCAGGCTCCGCGGGGTGCCACAGCCGCAACCTGCGGCCCTTCGGCCTCTGCCCGCACCCGGAGCCCCCTAGCCGCGTCCCCTGCCCGCGCGCCCCGCCCGGACCCAGTGCCCCGCGCCTGCCACTCTCCCTGCCGTGCAGCATCTGAACTTCTGACCTTCTGTCAACTTCCCTCTGACGAACGAAACGAAAACAAATACTTTTTTAACTTAAGCAATGGCTATTCCCATTCGCCACACAAAAAGAGGGGGAAGACAGCCACGGTGGGGGTGGGGAGGAAAGAGCCAGGCCGGGAGCCTCTTCTGGACTCCCAAAGTCCCCTAAAGACGTAGGCTGCTGGAGGGCGGCCGGGTGTGGGGTGCCCCCCTCGGGCCAAGGTTAAGGGGCGGCGCTGGGGCCGGCCTGGAGGCGCAGGCTGGGCAGGAGGTGCGCGCCGCTTGGAACCTGCTAGCCCGCGGGCCCCTCGCTCTCAGTAACCACCTGATTCAGGCCCCGGTGCGCCGGGCCGTCTGTCTCTCTAACGTGACTGCCGCCCGACTCCCTCAACCATGGCAAGATCGTCCCCAGTGGAACTTTCAGCGCAGTTCTGGAACGCGTGAGCTGCTGGTTAATATTAACTCCGGAGCAGGGAAGCACAGACAGACTCGTTCTCTGCAGGCCGCGGTGCCAGAAGAGGGTGCAGGCGGCGGCCGGGCGGGCGGGAGCCGCAGGGCTGGGACCCCTGAGAGGCCGCTGAGCAGCCTGTCCCTTTCGCACTGGGGCTTGGAGAGGGTTTTCCATCTAAAGGACAGGGGTGCTCCCCAAGCTGGAGGAAAGGAGTGGGGAGAGGTGTGCCTAGCGACAGGGTCTCTGTGGAAGGGTTCTGGCGCCAGGGAAGTCCCTGGCCTGGCTCTGCAGGTAGTGTGGTATAGACCTGGTGGGCGGGAGCAGGCACCGACAACAGCTTGGCCTCAGCCAACTTAAAGCCGGGCCCACGGCCCTGCTGGGCTTCACAGTGGCTGCACAGGGTCTAGGCCTGATTCGCAGCACACGACCTAATGAATTAGTAACCAGTCGGGCTTCCCGGCTTTGCCCATCCCGCCTGGCCAGGCCAGAGGCCTGTACTGCAGCTGCCAGCCAGGCACAGGGCAGGTGGCCCAGAAGGCTGCAAGCTCAGTGCCACTTTGGAGGCCTTGGACCTGATCTGTGTGGGTGCCTGGCCTGTCCAGGCTCCAGGGCTCCTGGCCTGGGTCCCCCACAATTGCCCAATGGTCTACCTCAAGATGCAGGAACCCTGAGTCCTGCCCACCCTGCTTCCCTTCTCCTAATCGCATGGTGGGGCTCAGGTTAAAGCCTTATCTGTTCCCCCTTCCTGGAGAAGGGCGTCTGGGATGCGAGCAGGGGTGCAAGAGAAACTTGGTGGGTGCTTTGCAGCCCACCTTCAGACCCGAACTCTACACTGACGCAGGCTTACTGACAGACTTTCACGTAGAATGCATACCATCCTGGAGATGGCCCACTCAGACCCTCCCCGTCCAACTTCTTTTTGCCTTTCTTCCCCTCTTTCTTTCAGAAAACTACTGGCAGACATAAAAGCCTGCAAGCGCTGACCTGTTACCAGGGCCGCCCCCAGCCCCGTCCCCCCCATTACGTTGTATGTTTAACTCTACAACCATATTACTGGTTTTTATTGCTGCCAAATACACAAAACTTTTCCTGTTGCGCAATTTGTCAGTCCCCTGAATGCTCAAGCAGCAGTCTCTGCAAAATCCTCTGCCTTTCGCCGGGGAGTTCTCCTGCTGTAATTAGGGCCTCGGTCAGAAGTGGCCTTTCCCCAGCCATCTAGCCCAGCCCTTGGGCCTGCAGGAGGTCACAGATGGGCCCCACCCTCTGCAGGAATCAACCTGAAATTGCTTCCCGCACCTCCGCTCGGACCCCTCCCCAGTGAGCCCTTACTATTTGTCTGCAGCTCCCTGCCCTAGTCGCAATGGCGATCGTGCCCACAGAAGTGCAGAGCTCTGGCTAGTGAGTTAGTGCCACCACAGACCTCGCACTGGACCCTGCTGCCTTGCCTAAGCCCTTTCTGGGGGCTGGCAGTATGACCTAGGAATGATGGAGCCACCGGGGTGGGGGCAGAAGCGGCAAAGGGGAGGCACCAGGCCAGGGCTCTGACCTCAGAAGCGGCAAAGGGGAGGCACCAGGCCAGGGCTCTGACCTCAGGCCTAGCACTGCTTCCCATCCCCCCTTAAGTTTGCTCTCCAAGCTGGCCAGACACCATTCTATACCCAGGCCAAGAAAACAAGAGGGGAGGAAAAGAACAGGTGAAAGAAAACAAGAGTACAATCAGGCCAGGCCACAGACAGGCCTGGCAGAGGGGAGGTCGAAGAGAAGGAATGTGGCTGCCCAGACCAAGAATGTTTGTCCTCCTGCCCTGCCTTGCTGGGCACCGCACTCACCTGCTGGCCTTGCACTTGGCGGGCTCCACCCCAGCAGGCACCGACACCTGCGCCCTCACCTTTGGCTTCATTCTCACTGAAGGCAGGCAAGGGGGTATGGGAAGGCCAGGGACACTCAGGCTTTCTGGCTCCTAGGTGCTCAGGTACTGTTCTCCAACACTTCCAGCTGCACCTGGGCCAAGGGTGAAGAGGGGGGACCTCTCACAGGTGTGCAGAAAAGGGACACAGCAGTGGGGGAGGTACAGAGTAGCAGATGGCGCCCCTGGAGGATTCTGGGCCTGGTGCCGGAAGTGTGCAGCTTACCTAGTGTAAGGAAACTAGCCTTGCAAATTCCCTTGCCTTGGATGCACAAGGACGCCTCCTGGGACCCCAGGTTTATTCCACCCAGTGCCCATCTGATGCCCTCTCCAGTCTCCCCACTGCTCCACACACCCGCCCCGCAGGCTAGGCTGCTGCCTGCTGAGGGGCTGGGGGAGTACTAGGACCCCCAGCTAACGTGCGCCATGGCCCTCTCTCCACAGAGGTGTAAGGACAAGTTAAATGCCCTGGCCATCTCAGTGATGAACCAGTGGCCTGGAGTGAAGCTGCGGGTGACCGAAGGCTGGGACGAGGACGGCCACCACTCAGAGGAGTCGCTGCACTACGAGGGCCGTGCTGTGGACATCACCACCTCTGACCGCGACCGCAGCAAGTACGGCATGCTGGCGCGCCTGGCGGTGGAGGCTGGCTTCGACTGGGTGTACTATGAGTCCAAGGCTCACATCCACTGCTCCGTGAAAGCAGGTGAGCTGCGCCACGCCCTGACCCTACGCACACTGCGCCCCTCCCTCCAGGTCTGCCCCCCAAGAAGGTCATGAGGTCACCAGTGTGCCTGCTAGCCTGGTTTGAGAAAGATGAAAAGGAGAATGAGTGCGAGGGAGAAGGGGGCCAGTGACTCCTGGAGTTCTGCTCCTGGCCTGAGCCAAGTACCCTGGGCCAGGAATTGCCCCAACCTTTGAGGCTCCGATGGCCCCAGGTGAGGAGAAGCAGAACCCTGCAGCTTTCCCCACTGCAGGTAGAGAACTAGAAAGGTGAAGGCTGTAGGAGGGAGACTGGCGCTTTCTTGGAGACCCCCCTCTTGGGTGTACTCACAGTACACCCAGTCGAGGCTGGCCTCCAGGTGTTGGCCTAGATCCTTCCTCTCAGGGCCTACAGGCCAACTATGGCTCCCTGCAAGTCCGGGCGCAGTGCATTCAAACAGTGCTCTCTCCTCCCTGCGGGGAGCTCCCGGTGTCTCAATTCACTTAACTCATTCCCTAAGTCTTTGGGAAGAGGTCTGGTAGGGTCCTAAACCCGGTAGTGACCACTTGGCGCCTCTAAAGCCCAAAGGCTCAGCAGCTTTGGTTCTTAGGGGCCTCTGGGTGCCCTGAGCCAGGCGGCAGCAGAGGTGCCCCCATCCCGGACCTGCAGCTGGAGGCCCGCTTCCCTGGCTGGCCCTGGGGCGCCACTCACTGTTGCCGGGAGGAACAGCTGCGCCGCGAGCTGGCGCTGTCACACGTGGTCCCCGCGCGGTGTGCACACCTCGCATCTCCTCAAGCTGTTGCATTTAGCAAGGCTGTCCCCTGAGAATTTCCGAGGAGCTCTGCTCCGGCGCCACCCCTGCCCCGCCCGCCGCGTTTCCCATTTCCTAAACTGTATCTTAAAGGTGAATGTTAATGGCGCGGCACTTCCCAAGTATCGGGGCACGGTTCCCAGGTAAACAAAGCGCAACAGAGGTCTGGGCAGGCGGGAGGGAGGGGCTCGGCTCGACTGGGGCAGCAGTGCGGTCCTGATCGCGGGGTTCTGCGGGGGTCACCCTGCGAGACCCCACCTGCTGCAGCCTGGGCGGGAAGTGGGCCGCCGGGGGCCTCTACCCCACTCGTCCCCCGGCGGTCCCAGGCTTGTCCATCCCTCCGGGCCTCGCCACTGCGTTCCGCCGCGAAGCCTCCTTCTCGCCGCCCCAGCCCGCGGGGTCCCCCTGGCGGGATTCCCTGGAGGTCTTCTCCGAAGTGAGTAGCGGGATCCCGCGGCGAGGGTCCGGGCGCGAATCCCGCGCCGAGCTGCTCATTCGCATTCCGCGCACGCGGGCGGGGGCGCGGCAGGCTGCGTGTCAAGCGGGGTCGTGCGACTCAACGACTCGGGCTCTCCGGCGCCTGGGGTCGCATTCCGGGGAGCTCCGGAGGGCCTCCCACTGCCGGCCCCGCACTTCATGCCGGAGAAACCAATGAGCAGATTAAAAACCTTCTGTAATTCCAGCAGGAAGGTCCTTTCTCGCAATCTCTATTTGCAAAACGCATGATCCCGGAGATTGGAATGCAAAGAAGACGGGGACCTCCCCGCCCCCCTTGGCCCCCCGCGTTCCGCCCCAACCTCAATTATTGAATTATTGTCACCGGGACAGTGAGCCTCGGCGAGCAGAGCGACAGAGGGCCGAGAGTGAGAGCCGTAGTCAAGGGGCCTTGAGAACCGGTGCTCGCAGCGCTCTGAGCAGGCCGGGCCATTTAAAATTCAAATACACATCTCGAGTGCTCGCAGGAGAGGCCTGGCTGTGCAAATAGCGCCTGTGGGGCCCGGGCCGGAGAGCCCTGTGTGAACTGCACACGGGGGCGGGGGGGGGGGATGCACCTGAGCAAATAGGGCGGGGGTGGCCGTGAGCTGCAGAGAGAGCGAGCCGAGCAAACGGGGAGGGGCGACGCGGAGGTGTCCCCTCTTCCGAGAGGGTCTCCTCTTTATTCCAGAAATTACAATGGTAATACTGGGCTTTTTATTGGATTTTAATTAGAAAATCCACACAAGCCTCGGATTTTCACACCTCAGGCAATTCCCTGGAATGTTTGTCCAGTTGCTACAACTATTACAGCTATTTTGCGCCCTCGCCCCCCCCCACCGGCCAACCCCAAGGCCCAGGCTGGGAAAGGTGGGGGACACCCTCGCCGCCTTGGAGCCTCGGCGCCCAGCTCACGGGGTGCTGTGCCCGGCCCAGGGCGCATGGGGAGGGGGTGCGCTGGCGCCCTAGGAGCCGAGACTTCGCGAGCCCCGAGTGGAGAGCAAATATCCCCGGCGCTGCGAGGCGGGAGTGCCGAGCGGGGGATGGGCCGCGCGAAGGCGGAAGCGGGCGCGCCGCGGGCCCCCTGCCGGAGACACCCGCCGCTCGGGCCGCTCTGGAAGGGGCCTGCGCCGCAGCCGGCCCCGCAGTGGTGGGACGGGGCAGGGCCTGCGCCTCCTCGGCCTCACTCTCGTTCAACGCCTGTCCCCTCTCGCCCCTTTCTCGCCTGCAGAAAACTCGGTGGCGGCCAAGTCGGGCGGCTGCTTCCCCGGCTCGGCCACAGTGCACCTGGAGCAGGGCGGCACCAAGCTGGTGAGGGACCTGCGGCCCGGGGATCGCGTGCTGGCAGCCGACGACCAGGGCCGGCTGCTCTACAGCGACTTCCTCACCTTCCTGGACCGCGACGACGGCGCCAAGAAGGTCTTCTACGTGATCGAGACCCGGGAGCCGCGCGAGCGCCTGCTGCTCACCGCCGCGCACCTGCTCTTCGTGGCGCCACCGCACAACGAGTCCGCGGCCGGAGAGCGCGAGGGCGCCGCGGGGGGCGCTCTGGGCCGCCGCGCGCTCTTCGCCAGCCGCGTGCGCCCGGGCCAGAGCGTGTACGTGGTGGCGGAGCGCAACGGGGACCGCAGGCTGCTGCCGGCCGCCGTGCACAGCGTGACGCTGCGCGAGGAGGCGGCGGGCGCGTACGCGCCGCTCACCGCGCAGGGCACCATCCTCATCAACCGGGTGCTCGCCTCCTGCTATGCCGTCATCGAGGAGCACGGCTGGGCGCACCGCGCCTTCGCGCCCTTCCGCTTGGCGCACGCGCTGCTGGCCGCGCTGGGCCCCGCGCGCACGGACCGCGACGCTGGCCACGGCGACAGCGGGGACGGCGGAAGCGTGCCCCAGCCGGCGCCAGGGCCGGCCGAGGGCATCCACTGGTACTCGCGACTGCTCTACCGGATTGGCACCTGGCTGTTGGACAGTGAGGCCCTGCACCCCCTGGGCATGGCGGTAGCGTCCAGCTGAAGCCTGGGCCGCCGGGGGCGCGGGCGGGCGCGGGAGCCGCGGCCA